CATCCTTTTTCAAGTTCTAAATTTTCAATACTTGCGACAATCCAACATGGACATTCCTGTTGAATAAATTGATTAGACAATTGTTGAATAAATTGATAAGACAAATGTAATGAAAAGACATAGAGATTATGATCTATAAGAATATTAAACAAATAACACAAATGTAATTGAAGAATTTTTCATCTTCGAAATGAGGAAACACTCTTTCAAACCATAAAATAAGAATCCTAATACCCAAAAATAAAGTTGAAATGTAATGTAAAGACATAAAAAAGATGGTCCATGTGGCGATTCATTGACATGAGGAAGGGATAGGTACCTATATGATATGGATTAGGATTTAGAGATGAGTTGTGCCAACATGTCGTTGATCAAAAGCTAGGCGATGTAGTTTATATGACTTAAGAGTTCAAATATAGATAAATTCAGCTATAATGAAATTTCTGGTTGCAATAATTTTCTATAAAAGTTGAATTGTTACTATGGTGTGATTTTCTTTGCCTGTGGCTTGCTGCATTAAACATCTAGGAGCACTGATGGACCTGGTCTTGATTGGACAGGCTACATGCTATGGCAAGTGGGCGGGGTTCTCGCTGGGTCTGATTGCAGACCATATATCATTGCACATCTGAGCCTTTATTTTTTTCCAAAGTCTCAGTATGCCAGAAAATGAGACATTGTTATAACTTCTACATTATACTAAGATGGTTTTCTCAAATATTAATAATTGAATTCTTAATTTAATTTTTTGTATATATTTAGTAATTTCTTTAACATATGTACAAGGTTTGAACTAAAGCTATTGAGTTCTATCGAACACATATATTAAATAGTCCTTTTATTTAAATCATTGAACTTCTTGGCTTGGCTCCTAATGAAAGGTCCTTGGTGTTCTTGATTCATAGCAGAACTACAAATTTCTGATAAATTTTTTGTTTCAAAATTTTTACAAATATGTTAACTAGATTAGTCAGGTCGTTTAAGGTATGTGGATATCTGAAATTTATAGGGGAAAAAAAAATGCACAATTTGTCCTTTTTTTG